AGTTAGGGTTAAGGAATGAGAAGGCGGCCATAGCCGCCATTGCTGAAGTTGCAGTTGGAGAAGAGCGGATGTATCCAGGTTTATGATCCAAGTAGAGAGAGATAGAGAGAGAGAGAGAGAGAGAGAGAGAGAGAGAGAGAGAGAGAGAGAGAGAGAGAGAGAGAGAGAGAGAGAGAGAGAGAGAGAGGGGAGGATACATTGTTACATACCTGATTGAGGATCGTTGTTGCATGCGCTGATGAGCGATGCTTACTGTTGTTGATTGCGCTGACGAGCGCTGGCTATCTGAACCCCAAATTTGTATAATACGAGTAGTCACTGAAGTTTCAGAGCTGCGCTGATTTGGTGTTCCATATCTGGCTTTGGTGTGAATCTCCCTGTGAGCTTTCATTGTGCATGTTTTGTGTGGAGAGTGAATCTGAGCGGTTCATTGCAATTTTAAAATTTTCATCTTTATGGTTTTTGCTTCTGTGGTGCAGCTCCTTGGCAGGCCTCAGTGGTTGACCCTGAAGGGCAGATCTAAAACTTACGTCAACAAGGTGAATTCTCTCTTTTTTTTTTTTTTTTGGGTACTCATTTCAGTTCTCATGTCTAGGACGACTGTTTTTCACTCTGTTCTGTGATGATGACAAGGGGCACGGGGCAAGACGGGCAAGCGGCAAGAACATACATGCATCTCGCACACAGAGAAATAGAAACACAAAAGTCACTCAAAATGACACAGCGAACCCGTATTCATCAAAGCTTCCCCCCTCCCCCCTCCCCCCTCTAAGTTCTGAAAGTTAGTTTTATTTTTTTATTCTTAAAAACGGGCTTGTACATCAGTCAGGTGTTGACCATGTGTACAACATAGCCAACGGCGAACACTCCTCGAACCCTCACGCTCGGGCTGAGTACTGCCCGCGTGACAGGAGATGCAGCGATGGACATCAATTCTCCTATAAAATAATCTCATCATCATCTCTATGCCACCCCGACTATGCTCAATTTTTGTAAAAAAATCAAATTACTCAAAATAAAATTCCAAAAATTTATGATCCCAACCTCTCTCTATTCAGAAGATGATTCTCTCTCCCATAGCCATGCCTACTTTCAAACTAGAAGCCGGACACAAGCGGCAAAGGGAAAGAACACAAAGTAGTGGGTTAGTAGATACCCCTCAGTCTCAACAAGGCCATTTTCTGAGTCACACTTTTCAGAAATTTCCGCCATGTCCACTTTGCTTTTTTGAATTTTTTTCTTTCCGTCAGTTCATGAACAACAACTGGGAGGCTTTTTAGCAATCTGCTTTCTTTTTTCTTTCTTTCCTTTTTTTTTATAAATAAACAGGGTAGCTGCTAAGATCCCATCATCCCAGTCTGATCCCATCAGGGTTCAAAGTCGCGATCTGTTTGCTGCGAGTTAGTGGCATGTGTGTGTCTGTGCAAGTCAGCCATATGGGCTCAGGGTGATAAGCTGTTGTTTTTTTTCCACAGCTGAAGATGCAGAACTTCTGATGGGGATTGCAAATCCATTTCTCTGCCGTTTTTTTTTCCTTTTGGAGAACCTCTGATGGGGACTTTGGATTGCAGTTGCCCCCCCCCCCCTCCCCGCTGGTTGTCGGCAAGTGACTTCTCCTGAGTCCCCACCCTACCCGTAGATGGAGAGCCGCAACAAGGCATCAACAGACCTTGTGGTATCGGGGCTATTCCTTGAGGCTTCACTTTTCAGAGGCTGCCCAAAACACTCTGATGAGTTTGGCTTACCCCCTGCCTCGCCCCCCGTCGCCCCTTCCCTTCCAAAAAAAAAAAAAAAAAAAAAAAGATTGCAGAATTTGCAGTTGCATTTGACAAAATAATCACATTGTGCTACACACGTAGTCTCTTCTCCTCCCAGAAAAAAAAGAAAAATGAAAGAAACAAAAAAAATTGAAAAAATAGGCTACTTGGCTCCCCCTGCAGCCCACACAGTAGTAGAGGTATAACTCATGCAACAGAAGCAGCCATGCGTAAACAGTGCTAAACACATTCAGGTCATCCATGGAAAGAGAGGAAGAAGGACAGGTGTAGAAGGATGAAGAGAGTTCAGAGGAGAAGACGAGAAGCGAAATCCCCCAAGTGCAATCAGCTCGTGTGATTTTCAATGATAGCCGATAAGTAGGTAGAAAGTAGGTGCCAGCGCCATAGCATGCATGGAGTCCTACTGGCGATTACCCCGGGGTCACCTGCGTGGGGCACCCTGTGTGTGCAGGCAAAAATCAGTCCTCTGTTTTTTCGTGGAGGTTCTCTGCACATATGGCCAGACGAGACCAAATCTGGGCTCCTTGCTTTTTTTTGCGTGTTGGCTGTCAAGGGGTGGGAAGGGTGTGGTATATATATATTTTTTAATGAGCTAAAGGGGTATAAAGGGGGGTGCCTTAGTCTGATTCAGTTGTTATCTTTTTTACCTTCGATTCTGTGAGGAGTTCTGATGTGACCCTCAGCCAAAAGTCGTTTGCATTGCAATTCTACGTAACTTTTTTTTTTTTTTTTGGGTGCAGGGCATGCCCGGGACCCTGCCTGGGTTTCATGCCCGGCCGGGCACCCGGGCATGTATCTGGGCACAAGTTGGGTGCCTGGGTGCCCCAACAAACAGTCTTAAAAAAAGGAAAAAAAGGGTAGAAAGGGGAAAGAGGGAAAAAAGGGGAAAAAAGGGGGAAAAAGGGAAAAAAGGGGAAAAAGAGGGAAAAAAAGAAAAAAAAGGGAAAAAAAGGGAAAAAAGAAGTCTCTTCATCTCACTGTTTGGCAACAGCAAACGGTTTGTCCGACAGAGTGTTTGACGTTCTGATCTGAACTCTGTTTCTGTGGTTTCCCTGACTTGTTCTTTTTTGTCTCAGGTGGTCCAAATGATGGAGATCCACGGCTCCCAAGTGAGGACCAAGTGTGGGATTGTCTCTGTCAAGCCAAATAATTCCTCTTCGGGTAATGACCATTTGGTAGTACCTTAGAGGAATTTAGAGCTCCTTCCTGTTCATTACATAGCACTTGTTCACATTTCTCTCCTCTTTTTTTCCTTTATTTTTTATTTGTTTTGTTACAATCCTGCCCAATTTTTGAAATGCAAATTCACAATGAAGTACAATGCCGTCCAATTGCAAAGGAAATGAATGAACTTGAGAAGAGGGAGAGATGAAAGAAGAAGAAGAAGAAGAAGAAGAAGAAGAAGAAGAAGAAGAAGAAGAAAGAAAGAAGAAGAGGACGAAAGAAAGAAGAAGAAGAAGAAGAAGAAGAAGAAGAAGAAGAAGAAGAAGAAGAAGAAGAATATGTACAAGAAGGAGAAGAATATGTACACCAGCAATTTGGCAGCAAAAGACCAATGACAATTCCCCCTTCTGTCGCCAACCGACTCCTACTCCTTATCGCCCCCTCTCTTAGTCACACAATAAATAATAATAATAATAATAATAATAATAATAATAATAATAATAATGAATGGCTGAACAAGAATCAAAGTCCGAATCCCACTTCAACTGCTTGGCATAACTAGAGGTCCACCATAGCCATCGCCTCCCTCTTCCTTCTCTTCAACCAGGCCGCGGCTATGGCGGACTACGAAGGGCCTAGCCCTGACGTGCAAAACACAACGCAAACCAGCTATGGCCGCTGCTTCTCAGGCCGCCACGCCTGACTCTGCCTTGAAGTCTTTCTTGGTGCGGCACCACCCCAACTGGGGCCTTCCAGACGAAGCGCCTAACAAGGCGATGAAGATGGTGTCCACCATAGCCAGGTGAGTACCTCACCACTCTCGTCCTTCGTCCCCTTCTTCCTCCTCCTCAGGCTGTGCTGCTTGCCATAGCCAGGCAGAGCGCCCAGCTCCTTCCTCCTACTCCTCCTCCCAGTGCTGTACTGCCCAGCGCGCTCCTTTCCAGTGGCGCTCTGAGAACTACCTTAGCGCCCGCTCAAGTAGCATGACGCCCAAACTTGCAGACCACAAATGAGGAGGAGCACTTTGACTTTGCTCCTCCTGGAGATGTAGCGGCCTACCTGCCTCTTGGGGTGGCGGTGACTTCCAGGCCGCCCGACCTCCAAGCGACCGGTACCTCCTCCCTTTCGGAGGGAAACATCATTGCAGGCTCTGATATGGTCCCCACAGGCCCTAGACTCAGGCTAYTTGGACTGGTACCCGCCTAGACCTAGCCGACCGCCGCTGGGCCTCTATAAATACTAACTATTTGTCTTCTTCTGCTCGGCCTCCAGTTCCCGACGCATCTACCGCTACTTGAATGGTACCGGCTTACCTACCACTTGAGTGTTTTTCCCCGCTGCCCTACGTGCCGCGGGACGTACTCCCCGCTACCTGAGAGTGTTTTCCCCACTGCAACCCTCAAAAGTCACGGCCACAGGTAAGTACCGGCGGCCCCGCGGGCCTCACAACACACAAGTGCCCTGTCGGGCCACACACACGCTCAGGCAGACGTGCACTCCGACAGACACATGGACCAGCAAGCGCGCACTCACCCACGGACTTAGAAAACTCGGCAGAACGCGGGAATCTCAGCAAAGCATTCATTCCAGTGGCAAAACTCAGAAATCAGCAGAGTTCTCAGTCTGTGTTTTGGCAGGTCATTACAATTTAATAATTTATTCTTTTCATTTGGAAAGGGCGACGGCCTTGAGATATCATCATTGAGCTGACTGGCCCCACGTTGGTAATTTGAATTATTTTATTCTTGTCATCAAAATGATTTTGTTCTGGTCAGCTGGGGGTTGCATCTGGACTCAAACGCAGGTCTGTAGTATTTCAACAGCTCATCGGTGTACCACCAACTGGGCCAATCCCGTTGGTAAATTCCATGAGAGACCACTCTTGTCCTGGATGCACTAGGTAGCACCTCGGCAAGGGCCAGGGACATCCATCAGAAATGGATGCATAAACATCCCAATCCCTATGTGGACCAGATGCAGACAGATCTTGTGGGATCCCAATCCTTATCTTTAGATTCTGTACCGTATAGGGATTGGGATGGCACCCGATCCTCCCTATGTGCTGCACCAGATGTAGCCAGATCTCTCTCTCAGTGGGAGAAATGTTTCTTGAACCCAGGCTGGAAGAGGAAGCAGACTTTATGGCATCGTCTGTCATAAATTAGTATGACGCGTTTCGTTGTGTGTGTCCTGTCCCTTCTTCTTCTTCTTCTTCTTCTTCTTCTTCTTCTTCTTCTTCTTCTTCTTCTCTTCTTCTTCTTTGTGTTTTATTTAAATGGTGGGTGGCACAGGCGTGGAGATTACCGATGTTGAGGGGAGGAAGGAGGTATTTGAGAAGTGTGTCCTGGCCGTCCATGCACCCGATGCACTCCGTCTTCTGGGAGAGGAAGCAACTGCAGCAGAACGCCGCATCCTTGGTGCGTTCCAGTACAGCGAGAGGTAATATGATGTCAAAGCAACGGGGCGTTAGTCAACCCTTTTTCCAGCACCTCTGTGTGTGTGTGTGTGGGGGGGGGG